CATCTTCGTGACTCTGCTAGTTTCAGGTTATTTGACTGCAGCCAGCCTCTCTACACTCCAGCTGTGTGGCACAACATCAATCCTCTGTTGGATCATCGGGTCCACTTTGCTTCCCTCCACACCTCCCAACGTCTACTGGACTACCTGCAGAGCAGCGCTGTGGTGCTGGAGCTCTGGGGTCTCCAAGGTAATGAAGTAAACAAGATAAACTGTGAATATTCAGATTTAGTTTCAACAGCGATGCACATGTTTACGTTTGTTTGAGTGGAAATGAAAGAGTTGTTTTTCTGTCTCAGAGGGTTGCACTCACCTGAGGTCATCTCTGGAAGCAGTGAAGATGACCGCAGAGGGCATCTTCATCATCGATGAGTCGGGTTCATCAGAGGCTGCTGTGAGTTGGATCTTAAATCGTTACACGCATGTTTCAGTACAACAAGGGGGCTCGAGGTTTTATCTAGAGTTTATAGTTGTTCAACATTTGAGTTAAAGATAAATTGTCAAACCCTGTGTCGTTACACAAGTGTGCACGTGTGTGTGTGTTGCAGGCTGCACACTCTGAGCTCAGCGGTTCAATAGGAGCTCTTCAACAGGACTTGGAGGATCTGAGGAGTGTCAATGCTGCACTGAGAAAAGAAAATCAAAGTCTGCGAGAACAACTCAGCTCTGCCAAGAACGGTACCCGAAACATCCGTTTGTCAGCGTGTTTGTCTCTGAAAGCCGCTCTCACGTGCACCACTGCTCTAACGCTCATGTCTCGTCCTCTCTGGTTTTAGGAGAAGGTGCACGTGGGCGTTCGGTGCGTCCTAGCTGCGATGCAGAGTTTGCTCGTGCTCTGAAGGTTTTCTACCACAGCATGACTTCAGTCAGGGGTCAGCTGCAGCGCCTGCGCAGACACAGGCCCAGTGTACGTCTGCAGGCTGTTGCTGCAAGGATTGATCAGCGGTGTTAAACCAAATAAAGTTAATGAACAGTTTATTGATATAGACTATCAGCTGAAGTATAAACTGACTTTTAAAAATTTGGCTAAATAGTCTATGGACGTTGATACTTACTGTATGTATGCTAGTTTGATTTGAATCTTTCCACAGTTCTGCACTATAAACTGTATTTCCCCTGACTTGTTACTGCAGGAGGAGTCGGACTTGCTCGGGCTCAGGCTGTTTGTAGACGAGCACAGCGCTCTGCTGAAGGACTTCTCAGAGCAGCTGGAGCAGAGCGTCTCCACACTCAAGCAAAACGTAGCCGCCATCGTTCGTCGCAAACGAGAACGGTCAGGAATCTGGTCTTAAAGTTTTCTCAGAGCTTTTAAGCAGTGACTAAGTCTGGTCACACTTTATTCCAGATATTCTCAAAAAGATGGTTAACATTAATAAACAGTTATTTTAAATTATATAGGTTTTGTTTTAAAGACTATTATAAAGGAGTCAGCAATACTGAGCTGAAAGTCTGTTTTCAGTGTCACAATGTTTTGTTTACACCTGATTACCATGGTAACAATTAACCAATTTGCAGCAGTTTCTGTTTAAGTTGTAAAAAAAACTCCACTTCTTTGATTTCCCCGGTGGAAAATCAGGCAGAAGGATTAAATGTCTTAACTAGATTTCAATCTCTTGATTAGTCAGAACAAATTAAAGTAAAAAGTATATGAAGTTCAAGTTAGTGAACCTTAGTTGGATGTAGTTCAAATGTTATTTTAGTTACTAAAGTCAATTAGATTTTATCCTTTAATTTAAGTTGTGCAGTGTACTGAGATCAAATTGTATCATATGTCAAGAATAAATTTGATATAAAATGCAAAATCCTAAAGAACTCGATATGCTTTGAAACTCGTGCTCCTAAATAAACACTTTTGATGGTTTTCTAAAAAATGGTAAATATTTGATTAAATTTAATTCACTTCTGTTTATTTCTATAGCTCCAAGTCTCAGCAGAAGTTGTCTCAGAGCACTGTACAAAAACTTTCACATACATAAGAAGCCAATTAGTAAAAGTTATCAATCTAAGGAAGCCAGCAGATTGTGTTGAATCGTCACTTTGTTGCAGTCTCCCATTCTGAGTAAGCACAAAGAAGACAGTGGGAAGGAAAAACTCCCTTTTAACATGAAAACCTCCAGCAGAACCAGGCTCAGGACGAGCGGCCATCTGCTTCAACCTGCTGGGGTTTGAGAGGACTGGAAGTAGAAACAAACACAGAATGATAGGTCCAGGTGTACTTTCTATAGGAGGAAAGACAAAATACACGTTAAGATATAAATAAATACAAATACAAACCGGTAGAACAAGTAAAGACAGCAGCAGAGTGAGGGAATGTGGTCAATTTGTTCTCCAGCAGTCTAAGCCTATAGCAGCATAACTAAAAGGGATAGCTCAGGAAACCCAAGCCAACCCCAACTATAGGATTTATCAAAAAGGAAAGTCTAAAGCCCAGTCTTAAAACTGGACAATGTGTCAGCCTCACAGACAGAAACTGGAAGTTGGTTCCAGAGGAGTCTGCTACCTGAGAGAGCTTCCTCCTATTCTACTTTTGGAACCTATAGGAAACACAAGTAAACCTGCAGTCTGAGAACAAAGTGCTATGTTAGGAAAATATGGAACAAAAAAAAAATCAGTACTATAAGATGGAGCTAGGTTGTTGAGGGCTTTGTAAGTTAGAAGTAATATTTCAAATTCTATTCTGAATTTGACAGGGAGCCAGTGGAGAGAAACTAAAACTGGAGAAATATGATCTCTCTTTTTTAACTCATTAAATCTCTGCATTTAGATTAACTGAAACTTTTTAAACATTTTTTGAACACCTAGACAATAAATAATTGCAATACTCCAGCCTAGATGTGATTAACCTAATTTATTAGGCTACATTTGCATATAATATGCTAATCAATTCACTCGTAAAAAAAAAAAAGAAACCTTTGAATATTATGGAATCGGTTTATGTCCAACTAAACATCTCTCCTCTGTTGAACTTGCTTCGTTGTGCATCCTTCAGGTTACATTTTTCTTTTTCTGAGTGACTGTTAAATCAGGTGTTTTCTACCCCCTCACTAATATAAGTCAATGAATATGCAGGTTTAATAACATCACAGAGCGAAGACTATAAAAAGTTTATTAGACTGCAAAATGTTACAGTACTAAACGGCAAATAAATTAAGTACACATTTCAAAATTTACAACATGTTGAACTTGTGGTTTCAAGCCACCGTAACTCACTCTGAGCTGTTGCCATGTGTTGAGCATGAAGATGAAGGGTCAACGCAAACAATGATTCTTACTAGTTAAAAAGCAGAGCACTCCTTTATTTGTATTTTTTTTGGAGTATCTCCAACTGTGTCTGAGATAAAAGCACGGCGGTTAATGCTTGTAAGCAGTCATGACAAAGTACAGACAGTTGCTGTAGGTCCAACAAAACCTCATTGTGGGCTCATGTACAGTAGGAGAGGCAGAGAGCAGGTTAGTCATCACACAATACAAATTATGTACAACAGATGGGAAGGCAGGCAGGCAGGCTAGAAAAACCCCAAAACAAGTGTTGAAATGTGATTTTCTGAGATGCACAACAGTTTCAGAGTGTCATCAGAGTGAAACGGTCTACTCGTTGTGTCCATCTCTTTAAAGTGTTACTGCTGGTAATCAATTAAAAAGTTACATGTCACAATAGTGATAATCCTAGTTTAGACAAATCTTAAAAGACAGAGTGAACAGACTATTTGTAGGTCAAACTGTATTAACAAGTCACTTGTCTGATTGTAGGATGAGCAGTTAACTTTGTAGAAAACGTAAAGGATACGCAGGTCAAAGAGAAGGCTGAGGGTTCAGGTGAGGTAGGTTAATTACATCACAGAAAAACATTTACAGTATACACTTCCTGTAACGTTTACTTTACAAGCAGAACTAATTTTCCCCGTCAGTTGTCTCCACCTCTTTGACTTCCAAGCCTGTGGAGCAAAGACACGAACACTCAGCGTGCACATGAGCACTTCAAAAAGATGACGGTCAGCCTCATGTGAGTCATTGTTGTAAAACATGTCTATTTTAAATGAACCTCAGTCGGTTCAGATTCCTGAATCTATGTAACAATACTCAGGTTGACTTTTTCTTTCTGAACATACTGGTTTCTAAAGCTGCCCAGTCTTTGTCAAACAGCGTCCAGTAACAGACTGATCTACACATCGTTGTGAACTGTCCTATGTACATCAAGTTGTATAGTTTTATCTTTCCACTTTTCTTTTGACGCTTTCAAGAAAAATAAAGTTTAAACCCTATGAACAGCTGATTTTTATAGTTCTCTCTCTCTCACGTGCACACGTTTTAAGCAGCTGATAACTTTCACAGTATAAAAAATATCTTGCTAAACAGAGGTCCACAATTTCACGTTAGGTCCATATATGTGGACGGAGCCACGCAAAGACAGACGTTAAGAGCTGCAGTCCAGAACAAACAACTTTCATGGGACACATTACCACGAATGTGAAAAGTATTTAAGATTGTTACCAAAGCAATACTTGGCAGTGTTTAGAAATCTACAGCATATTATTGTGGGTCCTGCATGATGAGGACTTGGATTATATTAGCACCATAAAATTGGTGGAGTTCAGACTACAGATCCATCCACATGATGCAGAGCACCTGACACAAACTGGTTTAAAGTGAAGTGCATTGATGACTTTAGGAACCTTTAGGCAGTTCCTTGTTTCTGTCCAGTGTAAGTTCTAGTTTCCCAACACTTTCCCTGAATAATACCTCACAGTCTGAGGAGGTGGATTACTTCGTTTATGCTGAATGAAGTAATCAGAAGTCCAACTCAAAGTGAGCGACTTAATCTAGAAGAGCTTGCGGTCAGATTCACTGACTGGCCTGTTAACATGAACAGGTCAGAAAATCCAGGAAAAACCCAGCATGAAAACACTCACTGGTACATTCTTTTTAGAAAATTCAACACTGAACATTGTCGTTTCTGCTGAGGATCAATATTCAGCAGCTTGATTTCAGCATTTTTCTGTGAACCTGGGGACCCCTCAGGCGCTGGTTCCATCATTTTCAGCAGCCCGGCTCTCACTTGCTGAGGCTCCGTGGGTGATGAGCGTATGCGGTGCCTCAGAAACGTCCCGCTGGCTGCTGCGCCTCGAGTGGCTGTCTATCTGATGCAGGCTGCTGTGAGTGGAGAGCGGGTGGTCAAGACGAGACATGCTGCCATGGAAACTGTGCTCCTGTGCACCTCGGTAAGCTATCGAATCGCTTCTGAGAGAGACGGTGACAGAAATAAGAATGAGGAGAAACAAGGGGAAAAGAAAACAATGGTGGGAATTCGCTGTTCTACCTGTCATCTCGAGTGCGTCGCAGGCTGCCGTGGTAGCTAGCCTTGCTGTGGACGCTGCTGGGTTTGCTTCTGGTTGATGCAACGTGTCCAAGGTGACCTCTTAGTGTATCGTCAAGGTCATCTAGAGCTGCCAAATGAGTGGAGGAGGCATGTGTGGAGGTGCCCTACAGAGAGATGAGAAGTTAAAGAGCTAAGCGTCAGAAAAAACGTATCAAACCTAAATAGTCACGTCTCGATATAGTTTAAGAACTAATAACTATTAAGCCTTAGCGTTTGGTGCCATGTTTTCTTTCAAAAGCTGCTGGAACTGTTGCTTTTCACTGTACAAACTGCTCCAGTTTATCCTCATGTTTCTATATGAACCTGAAAGTGACAACCTGTGGAGAACTGCAGGTTGCAGTCATACCTGAGTGGAAGTCCCTCTGGATTTCCTAATGACGGGGGTGTTTGGTTCACGCAGCAGAGACTGGGCAAAGTCTGGTTGTTCTTGCAGCACCTGTCGGGACTCATTCACACCACTGCTGCAGGAAAAGAGTGAAGGAGGTTAAAGAAAAGACAAAAGCGTCTGTAGGTAAAATGAGCAACAATAAGATGATCCAGATGGAGCAGAGTGAAAGTTTAAAGGAGAAGTGGAAAGACAATAATGATGCAAGTAGAAGATTGAAAACAAACATGAGTTTGTGACGACAAAGAAAAGACCTGAAGTTTAATGTGGTGTTGAAAACAAAAGTGCACATAATGTTCATGTTTTAACAAAGTTGTATGAAAAAGTTCTACACTTTAGAAAGACAAAAGTTTTGTTTAACAAATAGGCAACATGTGCTGTTACGCTATTTCCTGCCTTAACCACAATCACCAACTCAAAGTGTATGTACTGTCAGTGATCAGGCTTTAATGTCCAAGTCTGTTCAGACTTAAAGAACACAAAATGTTTTAATTGTGCTAATTACATGTGAAATCCAATTATAAATCTAATTATAAAATTATGGTTTTACATATGTTTTCAAAGATAAACTTTAGTGTGAAGATTTGAACCAGGTTAGAAAAAATTGTCTTGAGAGATTCAGGACAAGTTTTTTTTTTTGCAAGGATGTTAACTGATGTGAGAAAACATATAAACAGAGAGGAAGATCTTTGGTGGAAGCTGTGGGTGGTTTATGTGAATAAATAAAACCTGACATTTAGGGTGCGCTCATGGTCAACTTACTTTTTGCGTCTGCGTCCATGCAGGAAGCTGGCCCATTCAAAGCAGGTCTTCTTACTACCCACCCAGAAAACAGAGGGAATCCCCACCACCAACATCATCAGGTATTTAATTAGGAACAAAACCATGGCTGGTTTACCACTCTGCTTAACCTAAGAGGGAGAAAAATATGTATATTTAAATAGTCACTTTTTTAACAAACCCAGCAAAACTGATTTAAAACAGCTTGTCAGCCATTTAATGTTAAAAACGATGAGGAATCCTAGAAGAACCCAGCAGCTGAACTTCAGCTGGGTTCAACAGCAGCTGAACTTTACCATGTCTCCCACTAGGGGGCAGCAGTTCTTTGTAATGATGAAAACTATATGCAGCAAGTTGATTATCAAATCCACATGCTTTAATATCCTTTAAAGTTTTAGAAAAATAATCATAACAGCAGACTCGTGAACTTGGAAACATTTAACACACTTCTGATTTATTGATATGCATAATTTATAGTTCATGACTTTTTTTTTTAGGGTGACCTGTTATACAAACAAAAAATAAATAGTAATAGCTCTATTTTAATAACTCAAGATGAAATTAAAGTCCTGGGTCTTTGGTAAATGACTAACTGGAACCCAAGATCTCTAGTTTTCTAAAAACATAACTATCCTCTGCCATACACGTGCACACACACGAGCACAAACCTACCCGCTAAAGGTTAAAGATCAAATGACACATGGCAATAATAAAATTCCAAAACTACATGGCACGTAATGGGGATCGACCCTCATGAGGTCACTCATAGATAGAGACATGAACACATACGCTGACAAGTAACACGAGTGGTTGCACCTGCCTGCACACTCATCCAGCCTGTCACAAGACAGCCAGCAGTTGTCTACAATTCTGATGCATCACAAACACATAAATTATTTGTGAATGTTTTTTTAAACTCATCTATTTGCCAGATGGAGTGGTTCCCATTATTTGGGTTATTAATTAGAGCCAGACTATATAAAAACACTCCCACTGCTCTTCATAACGGCTACAAAGCCCTCATAGAAGACGGGCAGCAGAGCATGACTTAGCAAGCCCTGAGAAAGAGACACCAACTGAGAAAGGGAGGAGAGGGGAAGACGGAGGAGACGGAAAGATGCAAGTGTGTGAAAATCAGCCGAAAGGGTGAAAGACAAGAAGACAAAGAAGTCCAGAGCAAAACAAAGATTGTAGTTTTTGTGGAGTCAGACTGGAGAGCTGCATTAGGTGAAGTAATGATGCATACAGCACTCTGGTTTCTCCTCCATCAACCAGGGAACGAACACACACACACCCACACACACACACACACACACACACCCACACACACACCCCTTAATCATTAATGGATTTGTTTAAACCGATGTGGGTTTTCTCCTTTTTGTAGTCCTGATAATTAGTAATACATGTCTACATTTGAGCTGATTATTACCAAAAGTTTTTTTTATTTTACTTTTACCTATAGTTGAATGAAAATGAAACCATTTATGATTTTATCTTTCTGCTCTGTTTATCATCTGAATAGTTGTATTTTTCACAGCATCAGTCGTGTTTTCAGATCCCTTCAGTGACACATTTACATACGCTAACAACTACAAATGATGGTCTGCTGCACATCAGCGACTCAACACGTTAAAAACAAACGCACACCTTTCTTCTTTATCTCATATCTCATCTTTTATCAAGAGTTGTTGCCTGAGCGCATCGCACCAGCTAACTTTGGTGGTATGTTTTGTGTTACCATTTGAATAACATTTAACTGTGATTTAAATACATTGGCATCTTGTCAAGAGTTTGTCTAATTTCTTTTGTGTGTTCTGCTGAAATGTCTAGATGCCTCTGAGGATTATTTTCAACTAATGCACTTTTGTTGCAATAAAAAGAAAACATGTTAAATGATTTAGGTATATGGTTAGAACCAATAATTATGTATTTGTTTAATCGCTACAGTTAAATTCCAGATAACAGATGACAGTATGTGAAAGTGTAAAACCATCATTGTTTGACTTTACCTTGTATGGACAAGGGATGTGGAAACGCTTGCAGTTCTCTTCCATCCATGTTGTTTCCCAGATCTTCCTGTAGGTGTGTTCATAGATGTAACAACCAATCACAGTCGTCAGCGGGACGAGATAGAGCACAGAGAATACTCCCATTCGAATCATGAACTTGACCAGTTTGGCCTGGTTTTCTTTCTCCAGAGGAATCTCCATGCGTACTTGATTTAGAGCAATAATTCCCACTAAAAGCAGGGAGACGCCAACCTAGAGAAATCAAGAGTTAATGAAGGCCATTGTTTCTTACAGTCCACACTTGTAAGATATCATCCACTCAATCTATTCACTAATCCCTCTATCATACCCTCCCGCTCATCACTTCTTTCAGCTCTTTTCTTATAGCTTTACTTACCGCCACATTGAGGCAGAGTGGTGCCAGAACAAACCACCGCAGGGCATCGATGTCATACAGGCCTATGAAACACACTCCACTGATCCCGTCTCCTTCTATTTTATTCAAGGCCAACAGGGTGACAGTCAGGGCCCCTGGGAGGCCCCAGGCAACAGCATGGAAGAGGAGGGCTTTCTTCTCAATGGCCTCGCTGCCCCATTTAGGCACAGCGGCCAGGAACCAAGTGATTGTCAGTATGACCCACCACACGCTGCCAGCCATGGTAAAGAAATACAGCACCATGAAGAAAAGCGTGCACGCCTGAGAACAATGAGAAGAATAACTGTTTAATCTACCATATGACAGGAGTCAATAAAATCTTATGTCTTTGAGGATCAGAATAACAAAAGTGTGTGATGTTAAAGCAGTAATTAATTTATGGAAGTGTTTTAAAGTCTCACCTTGTTATGAGAGCCCTGTGTGATGGTAGAAGCTCTGAACTGTGCAGGGATCACCGCATTGCATGCTACTCTGTCCTCCAGAAGGAAACCAAGGAAGAAGCCCAGAGACACCATGACGTAACACACAGCGTAGAAGATGATTGGCCGCTCAGGATATCGAAACCTTTGTACAAAGAATATCAATCGTGTGTTTGTAATGTCTAATTTATTAAAATTGAAATTCAATTTTGAAGTTCACATTATATTGAAAGTGATCTGATGAGATACACTCAAAGTTACTGTTAGAAACCAGACAATTTTCAGTCATTCGGACCTCGTAACATCAATGAGGAAAGTCAGGAATGTGAAGAGCGTTGCAGACAGGCACACGATGGCGATGACTCCGATGAAGTATCGGGTGAAGGTCAGCTCCTGCTGGTTGAAGAACATGGAGGGGCAGGGAGCGGAACAGTCCTTCCTCCCCATAAAGGTGTAACCCAGGTCTGGGTCAACCTTGAGCTCTCTGGGGCACCAGAAACCATAATCCCTCTGGACAGTCATGGATGACTGGTCAGTGGGTTCTGAACCTGTTAGCGGGTCCCCTGGATGAGGATGGAGTTCAGAGCCCGTCAGCAGGTCCTCTGGGCGAGGATAGGCTCCGTCACAATCTGGGAACCTAGAAAACAATACGCAAGTCAGGCCTTACAGCTCAATCTGATTTGAATATTTCTATAACTTTGCTTTACTTCGTCACACATAAGAAGGAAGGAAAAAAAAAAAAACTAATGTTAACCCACATTATCCATTCGTAACCAGTTTGTGTATTTTGGGTTCATAGCAGTACTTGGAACACCAACGTGTGCCATGCTTCACCTCTCTACAGTTTGAAGTTATGTAGGCTGTAATTAGGCAAAGACTTTTGTCTGTCTACCAGTTACACCACCAGAAAAACAGCTCCAGAGCAGACAGTAACACCACAGCTGATGGTTCCATGTTTGCTGCACCAAATCCTCATCTTTATTTTTTATTCTTTCATGTAACCACTTCTATCTCAGCTTTTGCCTTATGTCACCGTAAAACCTTAATTTTTGAAGTTTTTTTTATTTGTGTGGTCACCTACATAATTTAGTTGAATTGGAAGACATGCATTTTAGAACTTCTTCATGGTTCACGGTGTTGCAAAAGCAATCCACAGCTGCAGAAAACCACAAAAACCACAAAGCTTACATCTTACACACCGAGTACGGCAAGTTTAGACATGGATTAGGGATGTGTAACAAAGCAGACATGCCTGGATTTTTAAGTCAATAATGGAGAGGATCAAGCACACAGAAGAGCTCTCATTTTTACTTGACAGACAAATGCAGGAACTAGAACTTGGAAAATGCCGTTGGTGAGAAGAAAGAAGGCTTCAAAGACTCATACAATAAACTAATGCTGACGAAAAGCTTTGACAGTAGTGAGTGTTGGGGAAAACAACACCAATATATTACAAAAACCACTTGATCAACTTGATGAAAGCAATGGACAAAAAAAAACAATTTTATATTTCATACAGCGCTCATCTCTTAATGCACAGTCCTCTGGTTCTTTAGGTATTCAATTTATGTGAAATGTAATGCATGCTTTAAAAAGAGATGGAACAAGTGTGTGTGGAATACTGATTTGGCATTTACCCTCTGTTGTCACCGTTTTCTTTTTTGTGCAACAATTAACTGGACAGCCAATCAGACTGATCTCTAACAGACAAACAACAACAAATCTCAACAGGGTCTGACAGACGCAGAGAAAACGAGACAGACTCCTCAGACATTGACTCCCAACAGCAAATCATCAGTTGATGTATAAATCCCTAACAAAAATTCCTGATGTGATTGATTGATTTTCCCTGATCTCTACTGAAGTCAATCAAACTGAGTCGATTGCTTTCCTGTTGAACTCCGTCTGCTGTTGAATGTTGACACTGGAAAAGCTACCACCAGTAGCCAAATTACAAGGCATTTTAAAACTGATAATCAAATTTTACATTCATACCTGCTGCACTCCATGTCATCTGGCCAAGCTACTCCAAATATCTCCATGAGTTTGTGGCACTCATCCTTGGCTCTCTGGCAGATGGATCGACATGGCATGGACATACGGCCATACTCTGTGCACACTGGAGCATACAGCGCACATAGGAACATCCTCAAGTCAGCGCTGCACATGAGGTTTACCATAGGATGAAAAGGCTTTGGAACGAAAAGAACAAGAAAAAAAAAATCAGGATTATAATATGAACAACAGAAGCTCAAAGGTATAAATCGAAAGCATTTGTCAAGTACTACACTATGTGCAAATTGCAACATACACATTTTATACAGCTCCCTTTAGTGGTAAATAAAAGTCTAAAAATAAGACTTATGATCTTTGTAGCCTTGGTTGAAATACACAAGATAATTGGAAAAGTGTGATTTATATACATTTAGCAGAAACTTCACACTGGTGACAACTTAATGATGTGCATTAAACTCTGCAGCAATAATGAATTCAATCTAAAAGGATGACCATTACTGTTGAAACCTCCTTTGTGTTGTGCAGGGAGGACGCTCTTTGGGTGTTTTTGTAAAACCTTCAATAAACAATGCTTGAGTGCACACAACATGCTGGTCCAGATTCACTGATTTGCACGGCTTTTGCAAGAGCAAATTTGGCAAAAAGCATCCGATTCTCAAAGACCAGGACTGTTGCAAAATGCATTTTGTGTCAAATAATTATTTTTACAGTATATATTTATTTTCTCCTGGGTGGTGTTTATGTCGCTGATGAAAAATGTGAAGTAGTTTAGCAATCTGCTGCCTTCACTAAAACAGTGCTGGCATATCAGGAAAAGTCTTATAACTCGTTTCTTTCAATGAAATAAACAAACTAACAAAAAAACAACAGCACATAAAACCCTGTTGTTGCAGAATGTCAAACCTTCTGATAGCAGAACAATTCAACAAATAGTGATTCATTCACAGGTCAGACTGAGCACATACTAATTATTTTCTGGGACATTTATTGCAGATCCACCCCACCCTGCGCGTCCTCTGTGCAGTAGTCTGACCCTCTGCGCATGGGAAGTGTGCACAACATGCACGCTGAGGTCCAGAAGGATCTAATTTTCAACTTAAGTCAAAATAAAGATGCATAATGATCAACAAAGACAAAAATGCCACATTAATTTAGAAATGTCTTCCTGAACATGATTCTTCTTGGACCCATTCAGACGTTCTTGTACTTCATCTGTTAAAATCTGCAGAAAACTTTTCTCCCTCTCGGTCACTTCTGCTGTTGATGGGTTTATAACAGACTCAGTTTGTGCAGGGTGGACAACATGTACAGTATCTGCTGTGTTCTGATGCTACAAGTGTACTTGCACCTGCTGAATTTGATCGATGTCTAATTAGCGCATATAATCAGCACAATTTGGCTTGTGAATATGATGCTGAGCAGCTAAGGGGAGCTAATAAAGATTAGCTGGTAGAGATAAAGCAGATAACACAGACAGCACAACGATAGTGAATCTGGGCCCTGGCGTTTGGGTAGATGTGATTTATGTGTACAAGTGACACAAAACACTGCACTTTCATTGATCAGTTACCATAAAAGCTGCTGTATATGCTTACAGAGTGTGTCAGTGTATTTGTGCAAATATCCATGCATCAATAAATATGCGTTGTGCGCATGCTGGAGTGAATTCATAGGTTGTAAGTGTATTTTGATCGTTACTCAATTGCTGTGTTCTAGATTCACAGATGGAGGAGATGCTCCACCAGTAAATGGAAGCAGTGGTGCATGAGCGCGTGACACAGTTTTGAGTACTGCACAAAAATGAACATCACGCGTACAGAGCAGTTTTTATCGTCTTTCAATGAGCATTTCAACAGTTTTCTAGTTTATGTACAATGTTTGACTGAGCAGCATGATGCAGGATAACAGTCACTGAGAGAATAAGCTGAAAGTCAAACGATAAGATTGTTTTCAATAACAATAAATGAAGAAATTCTTATAAAACAATGCATTTTTCTGAATCTTATGGCCACACAACAAGATTACAAACTAGTTTTTCTGTTACGTTTAACACAGCTTTTACATGATTAAAACATTTAAAAAAAGAGAGCATTTATGTTATGTTAGCCAAATGTGAGCGTTTTATCAATAAAAGGAAAAGTAGGAGAATATTCTTCAGTGGTGGAGAAAATACTCAAACACTGTACTTAACTAAAAGTACAAATAAACAGACAAAAATGTACTCTAGTAAAAATAGAAGTACCACATTAACATTTTTACTTATGTAAAAGTAAATAAGTACTTGCTTTTAAAAATACTTAAAGTATTAAAAGTAAAAGTATTGCTGAATGTATTAAAAGTAAAAGTACTTGCTGAAGGTATTACCTAATGCAATGGTCTACAATATCATTAAGTGTGCCTACCATATGTATATTTTCTGTAATACATTAATAGTGTTGAGCCATTTTAATGAACAATGCTGCAGATAATACATGTTTTTATTGTGTTTACTCTGTGACACAGTTCACTCTTGGACTTGTGACTCTGTGTCAGAATTTCATAGATGACCTGAAGAGTTAAATGCCATTAACTAAAAATAAGAAAGTGGAATAATTTTACCTTTGAAAGTTTTTATTTTACACAAATCAAATCCAATGTGTCATTTTAACTGTAGTAAACACATTTAAGTAAAATTTGTCTGTTTGAAAAAAAGGGACATTAAACACACCTAACAAAGGAATAAGTGCTGATCATTTCAACTCCAGTTTGTCATCAACTCTAGTTAAAATACTGTCTAGTCCACCTTGTAATGGGTCAATAGTGAACAATATTTTAACTTCCTGACACCATTTTTAAAACTTGGACCGAGTGTCGAGCCATTTGGAGACATCTCGTCTGAACTGACACATTTTAATATTGCAGCAAGAATTTCTTGTTCAAGTTCAGAAGAAGTTGGTTTTCAAAGTTTTTTGAGTCCAGTCCGACTCTTTAGGGAGAGAATCTGTCCTGCTGTACTTAACAGTCTTTCAATAATATTTCAATAAGGCCATGGGTGGCATGTATCTTCTGGCTGACTCTCTGTGGTGGAATACATTTTGGGTGTGTTAGCGGTGCTGTGGGTGCACCCAGCTCAGTGACATATATACTAGAATATACATCATTGGTCCAGCTCTTCTTGAAGGTGGGTCTAACGTTACCTGCCCACTTTGCAGTGATTCAGTGGATCAACTCCCCTCTCACCATTGGTTACTTTCAAACTAACGAACAAATCAAAAAAACCACAACGTGAATGTAACTTGTAATGCAACGCATTATAGAAATGTAGTGTAGAAAGTACAGATACTTAATGTAAAATGCAGTGGAGTAAGTCGAAAGTACCCACAATTAACTCTACTTAAGTACAGACACATGAAAAATGAACTTAAGTACAGTAACAAAGTACTTGTACTTTGTTACATCCCACACTGCAGACAAGTGTATGCAAGCTAAAGAAACTAACGTTAATATCATCTGAAAATGGTCTCATCCTCTGATATGAATCTGACAATCCATTGTTGTCCCCATTTATCCACCTGTCTTATACAAACATGCTTTGTGCCCAAGGCCACAACTGAAAGTGGTAACTATTTTCTGAATTGTCTTTTCTGACCTGGAAGAGAATAAGCTTTTTATTTCATTTTAAGTCACCTCAGTCAAACTCCACTGAAAATCTGTTTGAGGCTCCTGCTTTGTGTATCCTCATTCTACCCTTCTGTCTTGTGCGTGCGAGTTTACATGCGTGTCTTCATTCGGGTTTTTAGTCTATGTCCCAGTTTCTGTTTTTAAACATGTGCGTGATGAAGCAAGGTTTTCGTGCCTGCTCATATAGTCACATGTGTGCAGATCGCTGTGTGCAATTATTCTGACATTCAGGGCAATTGCCTCCCATCTCTCTTCACAAAGCGAATATTGATATTAAGTGGCTTTACTGTGCCACCCCACAAAAGAGGAAGGGACTGGCAATCAGCTCCCCACAGAGAATAACTCAAGTGAATTGCCTGACATTATGTATGTCAGTTGTGATAGACAAGCATGGAGAAGAGGAAAATGGAAAAGCCTGCAAAACTGCCCTGAGGGGGAAAGCAGGCTCCAAGTAAAACATGGATAATGTTGAAAAATGAGATGGGGTGGAGACAAGACTTTACTACAGTCACCAAACATATAGTGCTTTTAGTTTTCCTTCATGAGTTTCTGCCTTACTATTGGTTTTTACTTTTTTCTGTTTCAGTCGCTACATTTCCAAACATGAGTAGAATAAGACATGCAGCCATTAATTATAAAGTACAAGCATCAAAAATATGTATTTTAATATAGGAAAAACAATTCTTGAACAAGTATAGCCCTTCATCACAAGTGAGTGAGCACAGTGTAAATTGACAGTAGTAACTTATCCTGATGCATGCTCAATAATCCAGGTAGAAAAATACTGTGACAGTAGTAACAGTTGTGAGTAGAAAACACTCAGGTATTTTACTAAGGCAAGTCTAATATCTTTTTTTAATTCAACCTTTATTATACAAACTAATCTCATTGAGCCACGAGGACTCATTTACAACAAGAGGGACCTGTTCAACTATTCAGCAAAACAACAAAGTCCATGCTCAATCATCCAGATAGACAAGATGACCTGCGAAACGTTTCAGCACAAAAAAAAAGAAACTGTCAAGATGACCTGACTGAAAAATGTTGGACTGTATAACTGGATTATTGAGCATGGACTTTGGTGTTTTCAACCAGTCTGACAAGACTGTCAACAAGGAAGAGGGCCGGCAATGGAGGAGGGGGCGTATCAAAGAGACCATCTTATCACAAGCAGAACTGGTTTGTTCCACTTTGGAATAAGCTGTTGGGGGAAGAATCAGTTTTGTTGTGCGTTTCCTTGACTGATGAAGCCTTCTGGATCGAAGGCGAAACGTTTCAGCACCAAAAAAAAAGGAAACTGTCCAGATGACCGGACTGAAAAATGTTGGATAATCAGCAAAACCATCTTAAAATGTTTGGGGAGGTTGGGGGTTGAGAAATACATTTTGCATATGAATTAAAAGAATGCAACTGTGAGCATTCAGAATAAAAAGAATAGAACCAGAATATTTTCTTCTGTGTAAAAAGAAAAAGACCCCCGACTGGTCCACCTCTGACTCAATGGAGGGATTAAGTT